ATTAAATTATGTTCAATTCCTATAAATAGCCCTATCCTCCACAAATCTCATCATGCCAATTCAACAATTGTCTTAATCACTTCTCTCTCGAGTTTGGATTCAGTGGACCCTTAGGTTCATGGGGCTCGTGAACCCTCCAATGGGAAGCGTGCATATCAATACTTTTGAACTAATCTCGTAATAACGGACATTTGCAATTATCTTCTATCCGTCGGTTGAACCGGACACTAAAAGACAAAAAAGTAGAAAATCTCGTTTTGAACGATTTGAAGTTTGAACTCTCCCTCTCCTCTCCCATATCCGAGCGACCACCGGCGATTTTCCTGCACAAGCGACATCAAATGGCGAGGAATCAATCAGTAGAAAAAAAAATTCTTCTTCTTCTTCTGACTCCTCTGGAGTCCAGTGGGTCCCTCCCCCAACTTCCATTCTCGAAACTCCTTGCAGGCGCTCCTCTGTCAACTCTTATTCTAGTCTTTTCCACAAAATTCTTGAACATTCAACATTAATAGCACAATCTCCTCAAGAGGCTTTTAAATTCCTCACAACCTTTCTCACAAAATTCAGACTGGAATCAAGAACTCCAAATCAATTTAACACAAACGCTCTATAAATTTTTGTAGTTTTCTTCTGAATCCCTCTGTTTCGTTGATCCTTAGTAGAGACAAGCAACCCATCTAGCGCATTTCCATTTCAAGTCTACAAGCTTCAACGATTGTGGCTAAAACTGAAGGCAAGGCGACTAGTACCGATTTGGGTACCACCTACAACTTCGTCGGAGTGAGGCAAAATGACAGGGTCGAGATCATCGCCAATGATCAGGGTAATAGGACTATGCCTTCGTATGTCACATTCGCCGATACCGAGAGGTTGATTGGTGATGCCGCCAAGAAGCAAGTTGCCATGAAACCCTCCAACACAATGTTTGATGCCAAGTGACTCATTGGTCAGCGGTTTTTTAATCCGTCTATATAGAGTGGCATGAAGCTCTGGCCCTTCAAGCTTATTCCTAGCCCCAGTGGTAAGCCCATGATTGTTGTTCAATTCAAGGGCGAAGAGAAACATTTCGTCGTTGAGGAGATTTCGTCCATGGTCTTGACCAAGATGAGGGAGATTGCGGAGGCGTATCTGAGTCAGACAGTCAAGAATGTTTTCATCACTATGCCAGCCTATTTCAACGATTCGTAGAGGTAGGTGGTGACGGATGCCAGAGCCATTGCTAATGGTTTGGATAAGAAGGATTTGAGGTCTGATGAAAAGAACGTTTTCATGTTTGATTCGGGGGCGAGGACTTCGACATTCGGCCTATTTCTACCGCATTAGAGAACTATGCGTATAGCATGAAGAATACGATCAGGGATGAGAAGTTTGCTGGGAAATTGAACCCTACAGATAAGCAGAAGATGGAGAAGGCAATTGATGAGATTATGGTCTGGCTTGACAAGAATCAGTTGGTGGAAGTGACATGCCTGGAGGTATGGGTGGTGGTGCCAAGTTGCCTACACGCCGGATGGAGAGTATGGCTATGACCAAAGCAACAGTGGGACTGCCGGACTATAGGACTGGTACAAGAGCTGGGCCTAAATTTTAAAATAAGATTTTTCATTTTTTTTGTCTTTTAGTGTCCGATTCACCTGGACGGATAGTAGACAATGGAAAACATCCATTAGAATGAGGTTAGTTCAAAAGTGTCGACGTGTGCGTTTCTGATTGGAGGGTTCACACGCCCCGTGAACCTAAGGGTCCACTGAATCCGGATTCCTCTCTCTCATACTCATACATTCTCAATTTTCTACAATCTGAGTAATTCTAATTGGCTGATTATCTGATTCTACATTCTTCAATTCTCAAGTCTCAATTTTATTGAAATTTCAACTTTCAACAAAAAAAAGGCTTGCTCAACCAGCTCAAGTATCTCAATTTAGGAGGCTTCAACCGTTGAAATCAAGTTGGGATTTTGAACTGACAATCCAGGTAAGTCGAATTAGATTAATTTTTATCTTTTTAGAATTAAAAATAATGGTCAGCTCTTCCGTAAACCGATTCCCCAACATGTTCACCATTGATGATATTCAATCTTATCATGATAATGTTAGCACTGATGTGATTGATATCAATGGAAGTGGAACTTTCACTCCTGGTACTGATACTAGGGGAAAAAGGAGGGCCTCTAACTTGAGTAACCCGGTTTGGAAAATTTTCAAAATAGAGGATATTGAGGGAAAGGGAAAAATGGCAGTTTGCCAAAAATGTAGGAAAGACTTTAGTTATTGTAGCAAAGGTGGTACGTGTCATTTGAAAACATTTGCTTACACATGAGAAGGAAGAAGATGAAGGGAGAGAAACAATTCAAACACAAATTGGGAGGGGGAGTAGTTTTGGTACATTTAAATATTCACAAAAAAAATGAGACAAGAATTAGCTAAGTATATTGTACATGTAGAACAACCGCTTATATTAGCTGAAGATCTAAAGCTTGAAAAATGGTTTCATAATTCATATAAACAAAATTTAATTTCTTTGTTATCAAATCTTAATTCTAAAATTGGAATTACTTTTGATGTTTGAACATCTAAATTTAATATAAGTTATATTTGTGTTATCGGTCATTTCATTGATGAAAATTGGCTTTTAAATAAAAGAATTTTAACTTTTACTAGGCTTGAATGGCCACATACTACCCCAACTATTGCTCCAAGTATTTTAAATACTTTGCATGCTTATGGAATAGAAAATAAATAATTTTCTATTAAGTTTTGATAATGCCAGCAATAATGATTCTGTAATAAATATTTTAAAATCTCAATTAAAACCATGTGTAAATGGTAAATTATTTCATATCAGGTGTGCATGTCACATCTTAAATTTATGTATTCAAGATGCCTTGAATATTATTTCTACTCATATTTCTAAAATTAGAAATTGTATTATATATACTAAAAGTTTAGGGGCAAGAAAACAAGAATTTAAATATTTGTGTCAAAATTATGGTTTAAAATATAAACATTTTATATTAGATGTTAAATATAGGTGGAATTCTACCTATGCTATGTTAAAAAGTTGTATTTCTCATAAACAAATTCTTACTGATTTTTATAATTAAAAAATGCCTAATGATATGATATTTGAGGAAGACTTGGAAATGACAGTCTGTATAAGAGATTTTTTAAAACATTTTTATGATGCAACTAATGAATTATTAGGAATTTATTATCCAAATAATTGTAATTTACCTTATCAACTAATGGTAATTAGTGATTGTTTTGCAAAATGTAGAAATAATCCACAATTTCAATGTATTGTTGAAATAATAGAAAATAAATTTAAAAAATATTGGAAGAACATTTCTCCCCTTTATTGTTTAACTACAATATTAGACCTTGGGATTAGGAAAGATGGTTTGGATATTTTACTTGAATCATATTGTTAAAATATGAATATTGATATAGGAAATAAAAAAGAAGAAATTAATAATTTGTTATTTGAAATGTACAGTTTATACGAATCTGAAGTTATAGGAAATATTCCTACAACTTGTACAACATCTTCTACTTCTGACCTTGAGCCCAGTAGTAGAAGAAAAACTTTTTTATTTAATAAGTAAAAGGCAAAAATCTGCTACTTCTATAACAAGTTCATTACTGAACTTAATTTTTATTTACAAGCAATTTTTTCTAATTTAGGTGAATGATCAAATAATTTTAATATTTTAGCCTAGTGGAGTGAACATTCGAAAAATTATCCAGTTCTCGCC